GTTTTGCCATCAACCCAATGCAGTTCCTTAGACCAGTCTGTGTGCTCTCCCCTATTGGGAAAAGCTACCTTCTGCTCAGGACCTCTCTTCGCCTTCCGCTTTGCAAGTGCAGACAAGATCCAGGAATCACTAGGAAGGTAAAAAAAAACAGAAGTCGCTGGGTACACTCAGCAGGTCAGGCAGCATCTGTGGAGAAAGGAAAGTGAGTCAACGTTTTCGGGTCCACAACCCTTCGTCAGAATTGGGTTACGTTGGGAGGGAGAGGCTTTTAAGGACTAACAGAGAGGGGGGAGGCAGGGCAAGGCAGACAAAGGAAAAAAAAGTGGAAGAGGACAGGGCATGATGGGTTAAAGAGGTGTTAATAATGCAAAACAAAGGGGGGGAAATTGCAACATACAGGCAGAACAGAGAGAGAAAAGGTGAGTCTAAGACCCAGTTCTGATGGAGGGTCGTGGACCCCGAAATGTTGACTCACTTTCCTTTCTCCATAGATGCTGCCTGACCTGCTGAGTGTTCCCAGCGACTTCTGTTTTTGTTTCAGATTTCCAGCATCTGCAGTATTTTGCATTTTGTTTATCACTAAGAAGGTAACTGAGGGCACAAACCCACGTCCTACAATTCTGTGGCAGAGCGTGATCATTTCTATTACATTTTTATATCAAATAAAACATTCAGGTCACACATCACTGACTCACATTATACAGAGTACACAACGCAAACACAAGGAACAGAGATCAGATTTACTTTTTGAGATAATTTGCATTTCCAATGTTCGGATAAAATAGGAACTTATTTAAATTCTGCTATCCGTCACAAGCACCTTCCAGGCATTTTGAAACTGATTATAATGGATCTTAATAGCTGAGGAAAGAATTTTGTCAGCGCGCTCGCAATTTTTAAAATGGCTGGAAATATTTTCTCTCTCCTAATGTTTCTCTGTCAGCAGTTCAACATCCTAGTACTTTCAATAATGTGGCACTTCCCATAAACCTTCAGTAAAAAGGTGGCCTTGGGTGACAGTAATGCATCTTAACTCAATAGATATCCCAGCAGCCACAGAGCAAAATAGGATTTGCTGAAGCTGTCTTTAGTGGTGGATTTAGCGTTGGGTATTGTCCTGGCTACTTTCCCACACTCAAGTCCCCTTCTGCCCTCAAATTATGGTTGGTTGTGTTTTTTTTTCCTTTTTAACCATTTGTGCACCTGAAACTGGTTTGGTGGCTCCAAGCAGGTGCTCTGCAAGGCTGTGCGATTATTTTGACAGGATGGTATTATTTCAAAGCTCCATCACTGTAGGAACCTGAGTTGCCTGCAAAGGTTGCTTTAAGGATGGTTGTTTTTTTCTTTGAGAAACAGCACGAGAAAGGCAACGATGGTGTTCCACTGGGAATATTTTATTTTACATTATCCTCTTTCCTCACAAATGTAATTGCTTTGAAATTGACATACCTCTCGATTGGATTTGCGAAGGTGGGCCAACTTATGTTTGATTTTAATGATAATTAGAGAATAATGACAGGTAGGACACCTAAGGTCACCTTTTGATAAATGGCCCCTGGGATTTATCTTAATGTAGAGCAAGCCATGTGGACTACAGGTTCCTAGTCCTAGGTGTTACACACGACAGCAATGTAATTCTCATTCATCCTCTTTATTTGAACTCTGAACAAGCGCCCCGAGACTCTATCCCACAAGAAGGGCACGATATAATTGCAATTTGTCATTGTATTGCGGGGGGCAATAATTGCGAGCAATATGCCTGGAATTGCAATATTTTATAATACCAGCAAACTCACCACTGTTTCCACGCAAAACCAATAGCATATAAGTACTGTTATTTTCAAAGCTACTTGCAATAAAGCTCACGATATCAATCGTTGACTTAGTGGTGAATACCTGCGGTGTACTTTTGAGTATATTAAACAAGTCCCCTTAAGTCTTCCCACCCGATCCTTACCTCTAATTCTCAGCAGTATTTAAACCAGGCTGATGATTGCTAAAGAACACGATAACTGCAAAAGCCATCGCAACATTAAGAGCGTTCGCTCGCCCAACACACACAAACATCTGACACGTCCTTTGCTTTACTATTTGAATTGATCCAATTCCTTTCCCAGAATCCTGGGGAGAAAAAAGGGTCAGATCGGGCAAGAGCTAAACTGGAGCTGGAGAGCTTTATTTCTGTGCGGTGTTGATCCCTTGATCTATATTTACTGCTTTGGCATTGTACGCAACAAATGAACTGAATAATCCAGCAGAAATGCTCTACTCTCATCCAACTCCAACCTGCCGCCTGCTGATTGCACACTGCATGTCTAAACCTACTGGCGGCACTTGACTGAGCTGACTGTGAGAGGGAGGGAAGGAGGGGATAAAATGGGGTGAGGCATGTGATGGAAAATGCAAACAATAATATTAATAATCCTCGCGTTTGATGGAGCGCTTTATCACGTCTTCGAGACACCTCCAAGCTCTTCACGCTCATAAAGTGAATCGGCTGTATGTTTTGTTATGGGCGAAATAGTGTACGTGCGGAAAATTAAAATTAAATGCTAAGAATTGCACCTCTGCGTCTCAGTTTGAAATCTTAACGGGGGTTGCAAATTAAGAGTGGGCGTCTGAAAAAAAAATTGATATTTGCATTTACTGGTCGGTGTGGGAACGGATTTTATTTCAGCCCAGGCGAATTTGAATAAATCATTTCAAAAGAAAAAAAAGTTGATGATACTCGTTTGTCAACGCCATCTGTTAGCAGTGCTGTAGATGAGAAAGTTAACGTAACTTGTGTTGTGTTAAGGGGGAAGCTGTGGGTCGCTCACACCCTTTTTTCTAACACGAGAGAGAGAGATTACCGAGACGAATTGCGGTTTGAATGCATTTTAATTGCACTTTAATGAAACTCATCCTGCACTTGTCCCGGACCTGAGTTGTGTAACAGGAACTCCAAATGTCTGCCTGGCTTCAGTGATTAATAACTTTCTCTATTTTTTGCTCCGTGTACTACATACTTCCAGCCGTGAATGTCACTGTCACAACATCATTCAGTGAGGTGGTTAGGGGAGAGGCTACAGTTGGAATCAACGTCCTTCTGGTCAGGAAGGTGAAAATCAGTCAGAGTTCCAGTTCCTGATCACTATCCAACACCTCCCCCCCCCCGCCCCCAAATACTGGAAGATGTGTGCAGGATAGGTTTATGTGACTCTCCTCTTCGACCGTGCCTCCTGTCACCCTTCTACCCACATCCTGTGGAGTCCTGTGGCTCAGTGGTTAGAGCACTCGCTTTGCAAGTGAGAGACCTGAGTTCAATTCCAGGCAGAGGGCGAAACCTTGGGTAAGTTTCCTTACTCCACACAGAGCCTAATAATAATCCCTCCAAAACTAAAAACAATAATAAATTGGTCATTTTCAATCTACGACTGTTTGTGGGACATTGCTGTGCGCAATTGGCTGCCGCGTTTGCCCACAAATATACAGTCAATTCACTTTACAGTGTATTCTGTGAAGCGCTTTGGGACGTCCTCCCGACTTGAAAAGCGCTATATCAAATGCAAGGATTATTATTATTATCCTCCCTGCCCTCCACCCCCTCCTGATCCTAACCGCCAGCTCCAATCCAAATCCCTGACTATCCAGTGCCTTGGGATGTCCTTCCAACTTGAAAGGCGCTTTACAAACGTAATTTGCTGTTGTGTATACTCTGGCTGTGATATCTTCCACACTTAAATAGCCCGGGGATACCTGTTGTCAAGGCTTAGGTGTAAAATAATGAGCCCTTGGACAAGGTAAGGGAGAGTTACATGTGGAATTATAATCCCAACAGAAGGAAAAAAATGAGTGGTTCAAACGCATCCCAGAGTAAGGGAGAAATTAATGGTGAAACAGTCATTGTCTGATTGAAATGGCAATTTCGAGGTGTCTTAAAGTATGTTAAAGAATAACTGAAAATCACAGACAGGGATTCTGCTGCCAGAAGTCTGAAGATTTGCAGCAAAATAAGGACTGACATTAATGATGTAGCAAAACTACTCCGGTCTCTTGTCTTTTTTTTAAAAAAAAATGGAAACGATATGCCTCGCACGACTTGAAGGGTCAGTGTTTACTTAGACAGGAGAGTTGGAAATCGGTTTAGCACGCTACACACATTACGACAGCGCAAAAACTCCTCAATACAGCGCAAGACTCTGGCGCTCAAGACACCAGTCACAGTTCTCAGATTGAAGCGCAAAAAGGTCTAAAATCGCCAGGTTCGAGAGTTCAACAGAAGAGAACTATTGTGTGTGTTCAACCCCCCCCCACCCCCCCACCCCACACACCCACCACACACCCTCAAAAAAAAGACGTCTCGTGGCGGAAAAGAAACTGATGTTAATTTTGCAATGTCTTAAAAACAATATTTTTAAAAAAAATAAATGAAACCCTCGCCCTCCCCTCACTCTCCCTGTGCAAACCTGGATCTTGCGGGAGGGGTGGGGTGGGGGGGGGGGGGGAGAGAGGAAAAAAGGAAGGAAGGAAAGCTGGTGTAGAGTGTGGAGAGCAAGACGTCTCTGGTTTTCACGCTAGAGGGAGTCAGATGCAAATGTTTAAGGTAACACAGAGAAGGAGGAGAAGGAGGAGGAGGAGGAGGAGGGGGGGATGGAGATGGAGATGGAACGAAGGCGGATTTTAAAATAGATGTGACCGACTCCCGCCCGTCAACCCGCCGGCAAAATACAACCGACGTGCGGCTCTTCGCCGAGGGGTGTTGTCGTGGGGGGGGTGGGGGTGGGTTTGCGGGGAGGGAGTGGTGGTGGTGGTGGTGCGGAGGTGGGGGCTGTGTCTTTGAGGAGGTGGCTGAGTGAGGGGGGGGGTGGAGGGGTGGGTTGGGGGTGGGTGGTGGGCAGCTTGTGTGATTGACAGCAACGACGTGGTTTGGTGCCTCCTTCTGCAAACCCCCCCACTTTTTGCTCTCCTCTCTCTCTCTCTCTCTCACTCACTCTCTCTCTCTCTCTCTCTCTGTTGCTGTTGCTGCTGCTCTCAGTAACTTTGGTGGGAAGGGGGGACAGGGATGCGGGCTCTCGCGGACTAAAATGGCTTTGCACCGATGGATTTATGCTTTGCTTCACACGCTCCACTTTGTCCTCGTCAGTGATGCTGCCCGGACTTACCCCCCCAGCGAGGGTGAGTTGTCTGTGTGCGGATGAGCAGCTTTGGTGGGAGGTGGAGGGGGTGAGAGAGGGGGTTGAGAGGGGGTGAGAGGGGGTGAGAGAGGGGGTGAGAGTGGGTGAGAGGAGGTGAGAGGGGTGAGAGAGTGAGAGGGGTGAGAGGGGGTGAGAGGGGAGAGGGGGTGAGAGAGGATGAGAGGGGTGAGAGGGGGTGAGAGGGGGTGAGAGAGTGAGGGGGTGAGAGGGGTGAGAGGGAGAGGGGGTGAGAGGGTGAGAGGGTGAGAGGGGGTGAGAGGGGTGTGAGAGAGGGTGAGGGGTGAGAGAGGGTGAGAGGGGGTGAGAGGGGGTGAGAGTGGGTGAGAGAAGGGGTGAGAGGGGTGAGAGAGGGGGTGAGAGAGAGGGTGAGAGAGGGTGAGAGAGGGGGTGAGAGAGAGGGTGAGAGAGGGTGAGAGAGGGGGTGAGAGAGGGTGAGAGAGGGGTGAGAGGGGTGAGAGGGGTGAGAGGGGTGAGAGAGGGGTGAGAGAGGGGTGAGAGGGGGTGAGAGGGGTGAGAGGGGTGAGAGAGGGGTGAGAGGGGGTGTGAGAGAGGGTGAGGGGGTGAGAGGGGGTGAGAGAGGGTGAGAGGGGTGAGAGTGAGAGAGGGGTGAGAGAGGGTGAGAGGGGTGAGAGAGGGGTGAGAGGGGGTGAGAGAGGGGGTGAGAGGGGGTGAGAGTGAGAGAGGGGGTGAGAGAGGGTGAGAGAGGGGTGAGAGTGAGAGAGGGGTGAGAGAGGGTGAGAGAGGGGGTGAGAGGGGTGAGAGTGAGAGAGGGTGAGAGAGGGTGAGAGAGTGTGTGAGAGAGGGGGTGAGAGGGGGTGAGAGAGAGGGTGAGAGCGGGTGAGAGTGAGAGAGGGGGTGAGAGAGGGTGAGAGAGGGGGTGAGAGTGAGAGAGAGGGGGAGAGAGGGTGAGAGAGGGGTGAGAGGGGTGAGGGGTGAGAGGGGGTGAGAGGTGAGAGAGGGGGTGAGAGAGGATGAGAGGGTGAGAGAGGGTGAGAGGGGGTGAGAGAGGGTGAGAGGGGGTGAGAGGGGGTGAGAGGGGGTGAGAGGGGGTGAGAGAGGGTGAGAGAGGGTGAGAGGGTGTGAGAGGGGTGAGAGAGGGGGTGAGAGGGGGTGAGAGGGGGTGAGAGAGGGGGTGAGAGAGGGTGAGAGAGAGAGGGGGAGAGAGGGGGTGAGAGTGGTGAGAGGGGTGAGAGAGAGGGTGAGAGAGGGTGAGAGAGAGGGTGAGGGGGTGAGAGAGAGGGTGAGAGGGGTGGAAGTGGGGCAGAGGGAGGGAGGGTTTGGGAGGGTTTGGGGGGGTTTTGGGGGTTTGGAGAGGAACTTCCAAGTGGAATTTGACTGTGTTCCCCTCACAAGTTGACAGAGCGGCACTGCCCTCTCATCTCAAGCCCTTTTGGAAACATGGCACCACCCAAAAAAAAAAAGGGGCTTCAGATCCACAGACACCACTACGACACATGTCATCACCTCTCGATGGCATCGAGTGCTCAACGATTGTGCAACTACACCCCTCCTCCTCCTCCTCTTCCTCCTCCCTCTCCTCCTCCTCACCCCCTCTCACCCCCTCTCTCCCCCCCCAGACCTGGGGTTTGGACCATTTGCACTCCATTCCACTCTCGAGAAAAAAAAAAGGTTATTTGCGGAACTCAGAAGTTTTGACAGGAGATGGGGAGTGGGGAACACAGCGTCCGAGTCACTGGGTCACTGGAGAAGATGCTCTTTTTTTTTTAACCCACTTGTTATTGGGGTTGGAGCTGGTGGGGGGGGGGGGGGGGTGGGGGGGGGGGGGGTATGAGGGGGGGGGGGGGCAGTTGTCCTCAAATGAGTTCCTGATGGTTCTGTTTGATGCTCATTAAAGTCGAGGTCCAATTGAGTAAATCAGCACAAATGGTTCTTGGTCCCTCTCTGTCAGAAGTTGTTGAATGGCATCACTTGGTGTGGGGGGTGTTGGTGAGATGGGTTCGGGTCAGGGGGTCGGGGGGTGGGGGGGGTATATTTTTTCTTGTCCTCAACAAAGTTGCTCTCTCTTTCCTTCGCCCCCACCCCAGTCGAGAGTGTGCGTGTGAGTGATGGAGGGACAGATGGCTCTGGTGATGGAATTGGTACAGTTACTTGACAGCTCCAGATGTACGTACGAATCGTTTCTCAAACCACTGGATCTATCACCAGAGCCTTTTGATGGTCACTGGAGTGCGTGAAATATTCCTCGAGAGAGAGAGAGAGAGAGAGCGCTTTTTTTAAAATAAAATGTAAAATAAAAATGTCGGGGTTAAAAAAAAAATGCATTCGGCCATAATTTGTTTCAAGAGATTTTTTTGTAACCGCACTGTAATATTTCAACCCTTTATTTCGCAAGAGTAATGGGATGGTGTGCAACGTTACTACGGGATTACTTGTTAAATTTGAAAGCAGATTCCATAATGGAACCAAACTTTGAGTTTCAGCAGTGGTGAAATTTAACTCAACTGAGAGAATATTGAGTGTCTATAATATATGAGGTATGGTGAAAGTTTTGGGTGAAAATTAACCGATAAGTCACATACAGAGAGAGGTTAAAAGAAACTGTGTAAATTACTATTCGAAGTCCGCCTGGTTATTTTTGGTGGGTAGATTTGGTATAATTTTAAGTAACTTTGAAAATCATTTGAGACATGATGAAAGCTTTCAGGGAAAATTAACCGATAAGCCATATACAGAGAGAGGTTAAAAGTAACTGGAATGGAATGAAAGTTATTTAACTTAACTGACTGAGTTAATCTAAGTTAAAGGGGAGAAAACGTGTGGTTTATGGATGGGAAAAAGAACCAAGGCAACCATTAGACCACATGGGTTGCATAAAGAGGCCAAGAGGAACATAAACTAAAGAGTAAGGTCAAAAGGACACAAATGGATTTGGAATTAGCTGAACAAATCAGAAAAAGTAAAATGAAAACTTTTATAGATGATGATGATGATGATAAACCTTGCATTTGATATAGTGCCTTCACATTTTCCAATCATCTCTGCACTTTGCAGGATTTGCTGCAAACTGTGGTGTCTGTGCATTTGTAAGTGAACCTAACAAGCAGAGTTAAGGAAGAGGTAGATCCAATGAGGGAATCCAAGCCTCAGGTCTAATTATTGTTGCCAAGAAATTCCTGTGTAAATTAGCAAAGCAAATTTTAGACAAACAAAAGAACTAAGTGTCTGAAAGACACCTGTGCAGATGGAAGTCATCTTGGAATCTGAAGGAAAAAAAGCCATGTTCTGGTTTATTTGTTAGGAGCTCCACCTATAAATGCCATCCAAGACACAGCTAGAAATTAGTTAACCAACATCCATAATGGGGAAGATGTTCAAGAGCATTAAATGTGTTTGTCAATCGCCATTTTAGGAATTTCACCACATAGGGATAATGCCACCTGCCAATCTGGGAGGCAGACTAACAGAAACAACGTTTGAAAAGACTCCAGGACAGTCTGTGTGTGCGTTTCCATCTTTGCGCTTGACAGTGAGACTGCATTTCACGCTGATAGCCACATGGTGGCAACTATTCTTAGGTCGCGATCCATGGATTTGAACCATTTCTTAAGATTATTTTTTAAAAAATGGGTAATTTAACAAGATCATACTTTCAACAACACTTTCCCTCTCCAACCTGTAAATATCTCCACTTTCAAAACTATAAACCTTCGAATCAGATTAAATTTGCACACCTGTTTTGAGTATTTTAGGCAGACTCTGTTTGAAGAAAAGTTTGGTTTATTGATGTGACATGTTTGGAGTTTAATGGGTCTTAGACCAACAAGCAATACAGTGTCACCAGCTTCTTAATGCTCCAGAGCCACATGAATTTGCAAAACTTTGAAGTGAGGACAGTGGGTACTTGTGAAAATAATCTTTTAATCCACATGCATTTGCCTACCAAATGTTTGCATATTAAAACATTATTTTCACACAAGGAAATGTTTTGAGAATCCCTTCCCATCTGAAAGGTGCTATATCAAATGCATTTATTATTGGGTCCAAATTATTTCCCTACCCTCTCAAACATTGCTGTTTTCATTGATTGCTCCTACATTTTCTGCTGGATGATTCATGCCTGAGCACACATTTACAGGTTATAGTTCCATGAGGAACAGTCATCTGGTGCCTTGCCTGAGTGACCTCTTCATATGCCACTCTGGCATCAACAAGTCGTTTTACCAGTTAGGGAGGGGAGGAATTTTAATTATGTTAAATCCAACTGGCATTCAACAGACATGAAAGTCCAGCAGGGGTCACTAGATGGTATTGCACTTCTTGGCACCCCCATTCCATCTCTGGGACAGTGAAACCAATTGTACCCCTTGACTCTGCAAGGGACAACTATTGAACCAAGTCTCAATGAGCTGGTGAGGTGGGCAGGCTGAAATTTCTATTCTGTAAATCAGGCATGTGTGTGTTTTTGGTATGCAGACCACTGACTGTTGCCTCATACCCATGACTTTGTACGAGGTTGGAGATGTCTGTTTGGGTGTTGACCATACATTTCTGACACAGATATTCAAAATGAATTATGCCTGAAGGAGCTTTTGAATAAGTCAGCTTCCACACTTCACAGCTGCTTATCAAAATCCTTAGTTTTAGTAGAACATTAACACTACAGCTTTGCATACACAAACACAAAGGTCAGTGCTTTGAAAGATCTCGAGTACACCTCTGATACCTCTCTTTTGTACCGTTGAAAGAATGAGGAGCTGACAGAGGACCACTTTCATCCCATTCAGACACACTATCCAACAATGGACTGTGTATTTTTTTAATGTGGTATTTTGTCTGAGGCAATTGGAAGCTTCACTGATTATTTATTTGGTAAATACAACACCTGGTGTGAATCGAGCCACATAGTCCAGGAAGGACCTAGATTTAATCAATGGTGAGATTTAGGGTTTTTAAGAGAACTATTCATTGCATTTGATACAGCCTAAGGGAGTCATTGAATGTACATCACCACAAACCTTAACTCTTACCAACTACTCTGCCTGTTTGAAAACTGGCATTTGTAAAATCTAGTTCATTTGCACAAAATTGACATTTCTCAACATCCAGCCACCCCAACTTGCCCAATTGATCATTTTTCATCTGACAGTCTGGATAATGAGTGGAGGCATACTCTTTAACCATGGGGAGAATCTTGATCAAATCTTATTGACCAAACTCTTGGCCTGGGATGCCTGCATAGACAGTTTCCAGCAGGGGTCAGTGGCAATCTAGTGGGAACAGGAAATTATCTTGTTTCATCCTTCAAAAGCAGCTCAGGGGGACAAGGTCCAGTTTTTTTCTGCTCCAGCTTTTATTGATCCAAGGCTTGGGGCAACACCCCTGGCTTCAGGAAATAGAGATATTACATTTGTGTGTTTATAATGTAGCTTCTGGAACAAGGTGACATGCTTGACAGTATCTCAGTGCTCCACGTACTACCCTTACTACTTCAGTGATGCATTAGTCTGTGTGAAATTGAATTAAAGATGGAATCAGACTGAGATGCTATGCTCTCTGTGATCAAGTAGTCCACTATTCAGGCTTATGCATAACAACATTCCTGTGATACTACAACCCAGAATGAGCATAAGCTCTGGACAGAAGATGCAACAAAGAACAAATCAAAGGGGAAGTTATTTATATTTCATCTTCTCCCTTACTCTTTCCTACTGAAGGTGGCCAGTTATTGTACTAACAGCAACAATAACTACAAGATTGCATTTATAGAGCGCCTTTCACGTTGGGAGGAGGTCCCAAGGCGCTGCACCTTGATCAATAAGTGATCATTCTTCATGTATGAGTCTATAGAGGAAGTGTTGGCAACCTGTTTGCATTTACTGGTGATGGGGGGAAGAAGGAGCAAAAAAAGATGTTGCAAACAAGCTTGATCTTAGCATTTAGTCATGTGTACTTCCAATAGGGTTACTGATCACAATCTGGAGAAGAAACCTTTTCTTTCTCTTGCCCTGTTCCAACTCAAAGGACCGATTTTAACATCCATTGTCAACACCCAGACTAAGATCAGGTAACTCAATACAGGGCAGGGACTGAACCTGGAACCGTCCCGATTTGTACGGCTTAAGCATCCGATCAAATGGGGGCATTTACTTCAGCCACAGGGGAGCCACTGTCTCCTGTCTTCAATGAGTTATTAATATTGTAATTGACCTTTCTTCACGGCACTAATGCAGATTTTTTAAAAATTATACATGCATGAAAGCATACACGGAATCCCCTGTGTAATTGAGAAACTATAAGACAGATCCTTCTAGATTCTAGGTAATTTTAACACGTTGATGAAATAAGGTTAAGAAACAGCGATAAACACTTTTTATAAAAAAAATGTCCTTAAGTGCACCAATCCTTCATTGTCGCACGCTTTGATATGCTTTGACTGACCTCTGATATATTTTGTAAAAAAAAAAGCCCTTTCAATGGTTAGAAAGATTGTATTTAACAAAATCCCTCACTTTGGTATGCATTCTGCATTGCTCCTGAAGACAGCATTCTACTGGGAACCAGTGGATTTATTGAGACATAAACAGACACTTGGATTTCTGCCAGTGCGTGCACTCAGACTTGAGCTGGCACCACAAAGGTTATAGGTGCAGACGTACTTTAACACGATTTAAAACAGACCCAATCTGCCACTGCAAACAAGCAATGGTGTTTCCGATCGCAGCTTCATTTTATACACTGATGACAGACCGGCAACTTTGCAACTGATAAAATGGACCCATAGTAATAATCAGTGAGTTCATGCTCACTGGGATGAAGACCTGCCTGCATATTCCAAGTTATATTGAGGAGCCAGACAAACTGGTGAACCATCAACAATGACCTGGATTACTGTATAGCTTCCTGACTTTTCCCAGGGACGTTTCCTCAGAGGCAATTCAGACTGAAAACTCTCTTACGCTCACAAAACAAATAACCTGGAGGAGTTCTTTTTAAATTACTTTTTCATTTACTATCAAAATATTTCATGTCGGTATATATCACTATTACATATGTTTAAATAAGACTGTAGTCTGCATTAGTTATTCCTAATAATTCCCAGTGAATAAGCAGATTCCCTTTCTTGAAGGATGGAAATTGAGTGTAGTCCAGATGGACTGAATCCAGTCTTCCCTAATCCTAACCCCTACTGAAAGCTCTGCATGTTCCTGAGTGAAATAACGTCTGCGATATCAATACAAGCCTCAGTGAATGACACGGCACAGTTCTTAACCCAACCTTAATCATCAGTAATTGGGCTTCTCTACAGAGAAAGGCCTGCTGTGGGAAAAATAATTCCATGCAGGGCCTTGCAGACCAGGTGCGCTTTGCTCTGTGTGTGGAACCTATATTTTTAGGATTAAGAGGAGCTGTAACCGTGCTTTTTTTTAAAAAAAAGTTAATGTTTAACATATGCTCGTGTGCATCTTGCTAATTTTAAGATATTTTGATACCCACTCCGTTTCTTTTCCTTCCTGGACCATCTGTCCATCTGTGTGCACCGTTGCATGACTTTCTTCCCTGCCTTGGTCTAGATGCTCTGAAACAGGTTTTTAGGAGTGTCAAGGCGCAATTTTGGACCATTTTCACCTCGCTCCCTGTAGAGAAGCCTTCTGTCTCTGCTCAGCACCACACAATACAATGATTGACACCAGTAACCATGTGAATGATGGAGGAGAGGAAATTATAGGGCAGAAAAACTTCCAGTTGTTAAGCAGTGCCGTACATTGTTGTTCGTACCGAATACAATATATCTGACAGAAAAAAAAACATGGAATGAGAAAAAGCTGTTCAGTCCTTCAAGTCCACTTATCACATGTAATCTTTCATGTAGCCTTTAACCTGCCCACTCTTTCTGAGGTATTGTGGGTGGGTGGGTGGGTGGGGGATATGGGGATGATAATTGTGCAGATATTCCTTGATCCCCAAAGGAAATTGAGTAAAAACTCTAGGCCTACAACTCTCCTTGCAATTCTGATCAGCTTCCTACCACAGACATTTCCCTTTGGCCCCACAATTACACAAAAACATTTTGTCTCTTTAAATATTTGTCCATCTCAGCCAGCATGCTCAACTTTTGATCCAACACAGATATCCATTCAGTCCTTTTCGGAAGGACTTAATGCACAACCTATTGCTTCTATTGGGAGTCTCAGTTGAGGTCTTGCAGTAATGTTTACTTTAAGAAAGCCCCAGCTATGTGATGCACATGGACTTAATGAGTTCCTCATTGAGTAACAATGCTTTTCATCCAGGATGTGTTATTTTTACTGTGCATACTTACAATTGTAATGTTTCTTGATGTTTGCAGTTACTCTCTTGGACTCTATGTCAGCTCCTGGAGACCTGGGCTGGGTGGCCTATCCCGCTGAAGGGGTGAGTGTGCATTATTCCTTTACTTTGAATGAACAGCCCAGAAAGGACTTTAAACCTGTAGCTTCTATATCAAGTCGTTATGTACAGGTTGAGATATTTTGATCAATTATCAAGTTTATTCCCTATAAAATATTTACTGCTGTGTGACTGGAATTACGTCTCTCTCCCTAGGAGGCAGGTATGCTGTATTTAAATGAATTAGGACATTAGAGGTCGTTTGCTCAAAGCATTGAAATTGGGAAGAATGGCTTCTCTCGGTGACAGACATTTAACATTTTTGTCTTTTTGTATAAAGTCTGAGGTGAATGGTCAGACAAACCACGTAACAAGATGGTGAAAGTAAGGGTTTGGGTTCAAATGGCACAATGCTTAAGTTCAATATCTTCTACGGCAATATTCACAGTTGTGTCTGGAGGCAGATGAGAGCAGTCAGTCCACATCACGGTGAGAAGTGTCAGCTCACTCTTGTGAAATTCAACTTGTTTTGAGCCAAGTGGCATCTTTTGTTTGTCACGCGATGGCAACAATGATGTGGAACCACGTGTAATTTTACCCTTTTCCACTTCAAGGGCATTGAAATTGTTCTGTTCCCATCACTGCCTCAGCACAAACCTGAAATTAAACCTATAACCTCCTGCTCCGCAAGGCTTATTGTCAAATTACTTGGAATGTCTGTGCAGGTGTGTTTGACGGGGAGATTGAATGATGAAACTCTTTATCCTACTTTGTGAAGTTTTTGCTGAGTTCAGATTCTGAAGCCACTCGAAGTTGTTTGTTTGTTGATGTGCAATTTCACAGATGCTGGGCAGAAAAACCCGAAGGATAAAATTATAACTCCTTGGACATATTGCAATGTTGGATCTTTGAATGCTTGGCAGATATCCTGCAAAAGGCATATCCCTTTACATGAATAATTCACACAAGTCTCTCCTGTGTATACATTCCCATTTTGCATAACTTGTCAGCAGTATCCTCGGCAATACAACAGGAGTCTTGAACTGGATATTTGCATATGCAAAATGCGTGTGTGGTGATTTCTGGCACAGTACCATTTCAATCTCTAGCACGTTACCGTGTGCGGAGAAGGGGTTACGTGACCTGGTCTTGTGGTAATCATGGAATGCGTAATACATCTTGAAATTAAATTATGATAATCCATTACATGTGTGATGCTCAGCACTGATAATTATGGGCTTGAGTTGCTGTACAGCTTCCAGATCAGGCTTTTGATGCAACAGGTTGCGATGCTTCCAATTTATGTTTCAGAATGTGGAGGCTGGGAATATTTGTGAAACTATTGAAAGTTATGGACAAGCAATAAGTGGTCAAAGAGTAACAGTTTGTAAAGTACGGCTGAAGCTGTAGATTTTCCATTTACAGGTTCAGCTTCCACAGTCAGAGAATAGGGGGTTCATCAGTCAATAACCAGATGTTAACAATTTAAGATCGTTACAACAACAACTTATACTTACATTGTGCCCTTCACTCAGGGTAACAACCCAAGTAAAAGATAACAAGGCTAAGAAAATTTGTTCACATAGGAAGTTATTAGGACATGGAATGGCCTATCAAAAACGATGGTTCAAGGCAGAGAGCTTGACAGCTTAATAGCTTTTTGTTTACACAATTTCACCGAAGGAGTGAAATTCCAATCATTTTCTAGTATGTTTCTGTGCTTCCAGTTCTGCAAGAATAGCTTCAGGTATACCTTGAGAATGACACCAAATATGTAATCCTCTCTTCCTATCTTTCCCACTTCTGTTCCCCTCCCACCCAAAGAAAAACTCCAGCTGATCAATGGGTGTCATAACCTTTTGAAATAATAAAATAAACCCGATTTGCTACTTTTTGCTAGTAGACTCAAATTTGAACAATCTGGAGCCAATCTAGCTTTGTTCGGGTTCAGATTGAGCCATTCGCTGCTTTACAAAGACATATTACAAAGTGCATCAACTCAAAGTAGATGGAAGAAACAAGCAGTTTATTGCAGTTCTGTTTCATCCCCAGTATGTGAATAGAGCAGCCTTTCTACAGGCAGCTTTGGTTGAATATAAGTTGGCAGGCCTTGCAACTAATGCATTTTCCTTTCTTCCAGAAGCTGCATTGACCAGATATTGCCCACGATATGAAAAGACTCTATATCAAATGCAAGGATTATTAGTGATTTTAAACATGAGAAGCAACCTTCTCTTCAGCTTTACAAGTGAAATCTCCTTACAGCTTGATACCTAGACATGCGTTTCCTTCCCTTTGAGTGAAGGATTCCATGAAAATAATTTTAAGTCTATCGGTGAGAATACCCAAGGGTAACAGAGAGATGTTCATCAAATTCCTTGCTCCAGGCATGAATGTACACAGGGCAGCTAACGAAAGGAAAATCTACTGGAGTTTCCTCATTGAATCTTTCGCTAGAGCAGAGACATTTAGGAGAGGACCTAGAACATTTCATATCAAAGGGTTTGATGTGATGAGCATAAAGAGGCTGCTTCCATTGGTTGGAGAGTCTGTATCCAGGAGACAAAGACATACTTGAACAAGTATAGGTCCTACATGAGCAACAAAGAGATCTAAAATAGAATTTAAGAAGAACTACTTCACACAGAGGGTAGTTTGATTGTGGAACTCGCTGCCTGAAGTGGTGGTTGAATCAGATAGTGTAGATGCATTCAAGAGGAAGCTGGAGCTTCACATGGGGGAGCGGAGAATGGAAGGATATGGGAGGGAGTAAGGAATGGGTGGAGCCTCATGTGGAGTATGAACACACGCATGGACTGGTTGGGCCAAGTGGCCTGTTTCTGTGCTGTAGATTCTTTGTATGAGGTTCAATACAAGTTGGCTGCAGACTAATTTTGAAAGGCACCGCTGGCATTTCTTTGGCACCAGCAGCATTTCTCTCTCTTTCTCAACATATGAATAAACATTTATTCAATACAACTTTGCAGATTATATGTACCGGCCTCAAACACAGAATAGATTCAGAACTACAATCTCCTCAGTGGAGCACATTTCCCTTTAGCTCTTGAACTGGGCATTAACGTTCCTGAGAGAACGCTTTGTCCTGCTTCACTTTTTTGCAACACAATTTAAAGCAGCTTTTACCAAGAGCCTCTCAATTCAGACTCCACAAAGGCCTAGGAATCATTCCCTGCAGCAGACAGATGGATGTCACTGCCATCTATAATGATCTACAGGGTCGAGGACCTTCGAGGTGCAGCTCTTGTTTGAGTATGATGATTCCACCACTTTTGGCGCTTTTAGAAGCATCGTTTTACCAGATAAAATGGACTTGAGCAGCATTCTTTCCTGAAGTCACTGAACGTTTCAAAAACATTTAAATACTCTTCACTTTTCCTGCTCGTCAGGCTTGGAAAAAAATGCCCCTGAATTTGAAATGCTCTACTTAAAGCTAAAGTTTAAAAAAAGTGGGTCAATTTATTTTTCAAAGAGTGGAAGTAAGCCGAGAGTGAGAACGAAGTGATCCGTTGGGTTTTGGGTTGCTCCAAACTGATTGGCCAAATAAATTGATGTTTGCCAGGCTTTGACTTACTTCACCCAGCACTGAACTGAAGGCAGAATTGAAGCCGTGCTTGAGATGCCATCCCTGGTGTGGCGTGAGGCAGTTGGAGGTTGAGCATGTTCAAGCTGTGCTCATGCTCACACACACACACACACACACACACATACACACACACAAACACATGCACTCTGTGTGCCTGCATCGTGTGCAGTCAAAACTGTGAGGTGACAAGTTCGATGTGGCTTTAATTTATCCTATGACAGTTCCGGTCAGTGGAAGGACAAGGTGTGAAGAACAATTACCTCCAGGGTTTTCCCCCTTTGAATGGATCAGCCTTTTCTCCAATAAAAAAACAGTAAACGCTTGAAACGTGCGGCAGGCCAATCAATCAGCAACTGAAGGGGAAAGATAGGTTAAAGTTTCTGGTAGGATAATTCTTCATAACCAGCTTGATGAAGGGTCCTTGTTGAAAGGTTAATGTATTGTTCTTTTTCAGGTGCTGATCGACCTGCTGTGCATTTCCAGTAAAGAATATTTCTTTATATCTCAGCCTTGCATGATATGGGATTGCAAATACCTCACTGGGTATCAAGGATAGGCAGAGCAGTGCACTTTGCCTTTCAGGGCATCTAAAATAGGTCTGTCTGTGAAGACGGCAAATTAATAGCAGTAATAATAGTTATCGACTCTTGAGTACATTGCTGATCACGTTATTTCAAGTGCACAGACTAATTTGCATTCCTCGGTTGCTCGGGCTTAATAACTCATTCATTCCAGTATACCCTTGATGATGTTATCAGCAGTCACCGTTGCTTTCAAAATGGAAATTCGCAAACCACAGAATTTTTACAAGGCATTCACTTTAAAAGAAAGCACAATGAACGGAGCCAACTTACACCAGTGCACGACTGCTGTCAGGGGTGTGATGTCTTTAACATAATAATGACAGGGCTCCCCGGTGGAGTGTTGTGCATGTCTATTTCAGTGCAACGTGCAGGCAGCAAAGGAAGTCCCTTGCAGCCTGACTGCTCCACCACAAAAGAGCACAGGCACTGTTTTGTTGGCTGTTTAGAGGCTCTTCTTGAGCTGCTTCTTTTGCCTTACTCCGAATGGGTGTAACGCTTTTGCAAATACTCAACTGCAACAAGATAAAGAAGCCTAAGATTATTGGTTTATCAGCAAAACAGCCTAATGCACTTAGTGCTGTGGAGACATTGTAGCACATGGGAATCCCCTTAGCATCTTATCTAGCGTGCTCCTATTTCCACTCCTGCTTTACCTTTACATCCACTGGAGAGCCCTGACATTTTGAATAAGTAATAATAATAATAATAATCCTTGCATTTCATACAGCGCCTAATCACGTCTTTGAGACGTCTCAAAGCGCTTCACAGAATATAAAGTGAATTGACGTATATTTTGTGGATGAAAGGTGGCAGCCAATTGTGCACAGCAGTGTCCTATTGCCTGACTCAGCCCTTGCTCCTGATATAGGTTCATTCACATCCCTCTTGCATTGGCAACAGTACCGAGGACAGCTCCCCCACCAGCAGACTAGTGTTTTTTCAGAATACATTCTGTTCATAATAGTAATAATCCTTATATTTGATATAGCACCTCTCACAACAGGAGGATGTGTTAAAGCACTTCATATACTGCAGAGTGTAGTGATGATTTTGTAGGCAATGATGAAAGCAGCAGGCAATTTGCACAGAGCAATGTTCCACAACAGCTGTGAAGCAAAGAACAGGCAGACAGGACCTCAGCTTAACATTCCAGCGATTCGGGGCATAGTGGCTGAAAGCATGGCTGCCAAACTGTGGACCAGAGGGAATGAGGAACTTGCAGAAGACCCAGGCCAACTGAGCGAAGGTGGTGGGTAGAGAAGTAATGTGTGAGCTGATTGGAGACGTAAAGAGGTTCCAGGGCATGAAGAGATTTGATAGTGAGAGTGAGGATCTTGAAATCGATCTGTTCTGCAACAGGGAGCCAGTGGTGCCTGGCAAGTACTGGATTGATGGGAGTGCGGAACCTGATATGTCTGATCATTTCCCTTGTTATTCCAATAATCTCCACTGCACTGTGATTGGCGATTTAAGCAATCACAGTGTCCATTTAGTGCCTAACCTATGTGTGATGTGCTACAAATCCAGCTGATTTAAAGTTAACCAACTGGAAAATTTCAGCTAATGAGTTTATAATCTGTATTCTTCCCTTTAAAGATCTTAATATGGAAAGCATGCTGAGTTTACATTGAATCTTATTATGTGTCTATGCTCAGCGGACAAAGAACAGAACCCGTGTACATTTAATCTAATTCTGGTAATGGTCACACGTCAGATTTCTACTGAACTTTCTGAGCACGAGAAGCAAGAATAGATGCTTTTCAAAGGATAGTTAATTTGAGTGGTGCTAAAATATCTTCACACGTGTTGTTAACAATTTTCTGCTATGTTGCGTCTGAATTACTGTAATATTGCAGAATTCACAACTACTCTCAGGCTGCTGTAACCACCAGATGTGGCGATGTGACATACTCACGACTTATAAAAAAGGTCTAAGGTTTATCACAGGTGAGAGTGCTTGAAGCTAGGACCATGCATAGTTTGTGCAATTCTACATAAAATGTATCTGTTTTTAGGTTCATTCTGGATTCAGATTGCTGGTAATGAACTGTTCAGTTCACCAGCACAATAACGGAGCCACAAAAAGATTTTAGTGCAGGTTTGGTATTTGTAATCAACGTTGCTGGGTTTTACATTCCTGTTTCTTGTTTATAGTGGGAAGAAATCAGTGTTATGGACGAGAAGAATACTCCGATGCGAACGTACCAGGTCTGCAATGTCATGGAGGCCTATCAGAACAACTGGCTGCGGACTAACTGGATCCCACGTGACGGATCCCATCGGATCTACATAGAGATAAAGTTTACTCTCCGAGACTGTAACAGCCTCCCAGGCGTCCCAGGGACCTGCAAAGAGACCTTTAACATGTACTATTATGAGTCCAATAACAACAACTTGTGGTACATCAACGAAAGTCAGTACATCAAGATTGACACAATTGCTGCTGACGAGAGTTTCACCCAGGTGGACGTGGGGGACCGGGTTATGAAATTAAACACTGAGGTCAGGGACATTGGATCGCTGACAAAGAAGGGCTTTTACATGGCATTTCAGGATGTGGGAGCCTGCATTGCTTTAGTCTCAGTGAGGGTCTACTACAAGAAGTGCCCATTAACAGTTCGTAATCTGGCAGAGTTTCCCGACATGGTCACCGGAGGAGACTCCTCCTTGGTGGAAGTCCGTGGTTCCTGTGTGAATAACTCTGAGGAATACGATGTGCCCAAAATGCATTGTAGCGCTGATGGAGGATGGTTAGTACCCATTGGACGATGTGTCTGTAAGCCGGGATATGAGGAGAAACAAGATGTCTGCCAACGTAAGTACCGTTGCTTCCGTTACAACAGTTCCCTGTTAGATCTGGGCTTAGATAGAAATCCTTCATCCTATATATTTCTGAAAATATGTACATTTATACAAAATGAGATGTCCTAGAACTGTGCAGATCAAGACCAACCAACGGGTAACCTTCTCTCTCACAATGGTTGATCAGGGATGACTTGCATAGCCATTCAACTGGAATTACATATTCAAAGTGAGCATTCGATTTTAACCCAATTTAAGAGATTTGAGATCTTTAAAAGTAGTTGTTCTCTTTGTGAATTCTTTCTAACAGATAGTAACTGATGTGCTTCGGAGTGAGGTAATGAAGTGATATAATCCATTTAAACAGCTGCTTGGATCATTGTATAAACTGTTCAACTCATTCAACTCATTTATAACGATGAGGTTCGAGACAATCCTCAAAAGAACACACGTACAGTAATTGAGCAACCATACATAGGTTGATACACTCAAAAATAGACACAGGCTCTTTACATTATATTATAATCCCTTGAAGGTCTCTGAGACATCCTCCTGACGTGAAAGGCACTGTATCAAATGCAAGGATTTAAAACCTAACTGTTACAACTGGTAGAAATGTGAGGATGGGGAGTTCAGAGGTGGATAACCTTCCTCATATGTAGATGACGTCTCTCCTGGAAATGCGAAACAGCGTGTGATGTCAAATCCCTAACTCCCCATTGCTGCATGCACGTGATTGCAATGTGCTCCATCAGATTTATTTATTTATTTATTATGGGTTATAAATAAGCTTTCAAGAAAGCAGTAGAGAATTGAATGCATGTCCCACTCCTTGACTGAACAAGGTGGAAAGCATGAATCCAACCAAGGAATTGACATTTTCTGAAGAAGAAACCAATCTAAGGCGCACTTTCCCTTAAAAATGCAGCACAAATGTGTTACTGCAGCAACATCCCCCCCATGATAATAGTGCCTCGAGATGGTATGCAAATAGCAGGAGTTACACATGATCTGTGTTCTTAACAACTAGCTGCAACGGTTCCTCACAACTACCCCCAGCAGCTCCTCAATTGTCAGTCTACGGAAGGTTTTAATGAGGTAGATAAACAGCGGGGTATATATCATGATTGTAAATCAAAGAGTTGAGTTTGGTTAGTTTTCGCTCTGACATTTGATAAGAGGCACAAGGAGAATACTAATTCTGCAGCTGAAACACGCTGAACATCTGGTTAGTTTACTGAGGCTTTTGTTTCTGGATCGAGAACTTGGTGCCTGTTATTCCTCCAAAAGTAAACTTTCAATATAATACAGCGTTGACCAACCTGTTGGCATTATTCAAACTAATTTAGATTTAAATAGAAAATCTCTCTCGCGTATCCTTGCCTCTCTAGTGTGTTGCATTAGGTTATTTCATACGAATTGCAAATCAGAGATTCAAGATTTCTGTCAGTTTAACTATTGAGTTAAGTTGCTCGTAAGTGCAGCAAGGCTTAAAAGTTGTACAGGCATGGCCAACAAAGATTGCAGTGCAGATTTTAGTGGCTGTTTTTCAGCCAGAATCAGGGCTTTGCAATGCCATGCTACAAGGGTAACAGTTTGATATTCTGTAAAGCAGCATTCGAAGTGCTGTTTCTGCTTCGATAACAGTGGATCCACAAAGAGTAAATCAAAGGTGGTGGCTCTGGAAATTTTTTAGCCAGATTTGAACACTACCATTATTCAGAACTTGCGTGGAGGCAACGTATTTTAAAATCATTCCTTCACTAAGATACATAATGTATCTTGTTGTTGTTGTTGTATTTAGGATTGCCACAATTTTAATCCCAACATTCTATGTAAAGTTTTTCATCGCCTTAACTAGTCACGATGATATTCTTCTTATTCTTCTTGCACATTGTGTCTCCTTTCAATGCCATGGAAGTCATCAAACTTAAAACTGGACTCATTTGAAATGCAGCTGGTAATGTTCCCAATATTTAACGTATTTATTTGTGAATGAACTAGTTGCATAATTGAATTTCTTTAAGAAATAGGTTGGATCTTGGTGTCTAAAATGCAGATCCAAGCGAAAGGAGTCCCCATTTGTTTGACTTTGGATTCTTTACCAGGGGAATCCTATTAGAAATCCCTATTTTAAAACTGGTTGTGCATTGTCTTGTCACATAGCGAGGTCAATAAAGGTCAGATTAATAAAATGTGACTCGGACTTCCTGCAGTTCCTCTGCATACTCTAGACCTTATTGATGATGATTCTACAAGACGTATATCACTGAAAATTACAATCAGAAAGTGACGTGACCAGAGTAGCGTGCCTTGCTGCAGACATTCAAATCACAAGTTGGAGGAGGATTTATTTTGAACAGCTCTTTTGAACAAACTATGTGTGCAAGTCTGTCTGTGAAGAACATGGATTTTTGTAAATTATCCCGGATGAATTATTAAGTGACTGCAGAGCCCTGTGGAGTATTTAGATTTGGAGTACCTTGTATGGTCAAGAATGCTGTAACATCAGAAAATGCCTCAACAGTAAAGGACCATTTAGCTCTTGTATCCGGCACCACCATTGGAAAGAGTTGCAATGCTTTAGCAAACGTGCAACTGCCATCATCTTAATTTCTAATCAGTCAAACAATAAAACCAGTTTTCCTCAGTTCCAATAACCTGCATTGAGATGAAGTTGAGGTTGCCTTTGACTGCTGCTCAGTACAACCGCACATTAATTTTCCTGTTCTAAAAGCCTGAAGGGTTTAAAAGTCCACATTCAAAATCTTTCCCTCTATACATTTATCAAGTAACTTTCAGTCACTTCCTACAGCTGAGTTTGATGAGAAAGTAATTGCGTGCAATCCATTCTGAGGAAGAGAAACAGAATTCAAGGATTCTGCAAGGATTATTTTTATTATTATTCACGTGAGTGGGCTTAATGGTTGTAACCAATTGCAAAACATGCACCGTTTGAATCTCGTGGAAGCTAGAAAATACAAGCTGGCTATTTCAGGAATTAAATTCCTGTGGAATGAATGATAGTCCAATAGCTTTGAGAAAAAGATAAAATTGATGAGCCAAAAATATATATAGGATGTAGTTTCTTTATTTTCTGTGGCTTTGTATGTCAAAAATCATCAGCCACTCCAAAGGAATACCCAATAACATTTGGCAGTTCTTTGTTTGAAAAATAAATAGATCAACTGCCAGATTTAGTAAGGGGGAAAAGTGCGATCAGACAAGAATGGGCAAATGTAAGGGGTGATGGTCAGAGAGGAGACTTAGAAGCAGATGGGATTTGGGACGTCCAGGTGATTCATTGTGAAGGAAGTGGACCACAAGCCAGCAGGCAGTGAGGAGACATGAGGACATTACTGCATTTTAAATTTTAAAAAATGTGATCACTCAATCCACGATTGTTTGTGGGACACTACTCTGCGCAATTGGCTGCCACGTTTTGCCCACAAAAAAAACAATCAATTCATTTTACAGTATATTCTATGAAGCGCTTTGAGACATCTCGAAGATGTGATAAGGCGTTACGTCAAACGCAAGGATTATTATTATCATTATTATTATTATTTTGTCTGACAGATTAGCCATTTTTTCCTAATTTGAGGAATTTGTAAGATCAGTATGTGTATGTTAAGAAGACAAGCATTTATTAATAATTCATACTTCCATAGATAATTTATTATAAATATCTTAAAGGGACCCCAGGGAGATTTCCACTAGGCCGCAGTCCTGAAATAGCCAGGAATTGTTCCCCAGAACGACTTAGCACAGAGACCACTGTGAAAGCCACCAGGGAATAACTGTGCTGAAACACAATATTTGTAACAAGTTTTCTTTCTGAGTTCTGAATTCCAATATTAAATATTGCCAGGGGCACACGCAATATTGTGAGCATTCCCACACATCTGATTTATCAAACTTACAATCACAGAATGCTTATGGCACTGAAGCAAGTCATTGTTTCGCCCACAAATATTACAGTTAATTCGCTTTACAGTATATTCTGTGAAGCGCATTGAGACGTCTAGAAGATGTGAAAAGCGCTATATCAAATGCAAGGATTATTATTATTATTATTATTTCTGTGCTGGTGCTAGTTTTCCCAATTCAGCTACTGCCTCTCATCTCATTCTCTCACCTTTTCCCCAACCAGTCAGTTCACCAATATAGCCATATTAATACGTGATCCTTGACTGACTGAGTGAGCATAGGTTATTCGACCAGAGGCAGGCATTGCAGCCCAGCCTGATCCAATCCTCGTACAATTGCCCACAAGAACAACCTACAACAGTGGGGGAGAAGAGGAGTAGTAATTCTTCTGATTTTACCATTGGGGACACTAATAATAATCTTTACATTTGGAACAGTGTTTATAACATCAAAATGTTTCAAAGAACCTTCCCAGATAATTTCTGTAAAGTGTAGTGAACATGTGTTTTGTAGGCAAAATGCAACAGCCAAATTGCACACAGCAGTGTCCACCAAACAGCCACAAACCAATTTATCTGTAGGATTGACCCAGGGACTTTCTGCAATCTTTACACTTGAGCTACTCACAGAGTCTACTTACACTGAGCTATTAGGGGAGCCAGTCCCATTTTTGTTTATTCCAGCCAGTATTTTAGCACCAATTTTTATGGAGGATATTTTAATGTCCTTTTGACCTCTAATCTGTTAAATGCAGAAACTGGCACCTAAGGATGATGACAATGAGTGCATTGTGCCAAACCCACTTTCTTCAATAACTGGCTACCACATCCTCTAATAAGGACTTTGTTCACTGATTGCAGAGAAACAAAACCAAAATCTGGCACAACACACGTGTACAAACCATGGCAAGACCATTCCTGATTCAGTTCTACAAGGAGCCCACATAAGTACTTGCTCAGATAGCAGGAATTGCTAATGCCACTAAAATGTAGAGGTGCAAAAGAATTATCACATAGGAAAGTAGATAGATAGAAACCAGGGACTGCAGAGTGGTTCCAAAGTGCTGTGCACTCTTCAACAAAA